TTGTTGTCCTTAATCCGGGAAGCCAGCCCCTGTTCCATCTCTGCCTTGGCCTTCCTAACCATCCCCCTACATCCCCGAGCAACTGCTGAATAGTCCTCCTTAGTGATGACCCCTCCTTTCCATTGGGAGTAAGCCTCCTTTTTGGCAAGGAGACATTCCCGGATGTTTTTAGTGAGCCATGGAGGCTTATATGCTCTCCTGCCCCCTTTGACCCTCCTGGGGATTACCTTCCTCTGGGCTTGGAGGATAGTCTCCTTAAGGAGCGACCACTCCCCTTGGACACCTGGCTCCCCTCCCCTCTGAGTGTTCAGTGCTTCTCCAACTATCCTCCTTAGCTCGTTGAAGTTCACCCTCCTAAAATCTAGGGCCAGATATCCAGATGTACCTCATGTACCTCAGAATTAGAAGTTCTCAATAAAGAAAGAAGTAGCACAGATCAGCAGGCTTTCCTTCCTGCATTAGATACAGCATGTAGCATTAGTGAAGGCTGTTACATTTACCTGTCACTGCAGCAGCAGGCAAAAAAACTGAGAGGTGTTTGCCTCTCAAACTGGAGCTGCACCAAATGTGCCACATGTATTTCAGCAAGGATGGAGAGAAAACAAAAAAAAAGTTCCGAAAATTGTTGTTTCAGGTTCTCTGGACCCCCGAGGTGCTGCCAAATGGTGTTCGCTTCTTCCGAATAAGTCCAGATAATGAGGAGGGATACCCTGGTGAACTGAAGGTTTGGGTGACATATACACTAGATGGTGGGGAATTAGCAATCAACTACAGAGCTCAAGCCAGCAAGGCTACTCCAGTTAATTTGACAAACCATGCTTACTTCAATCTAGCAGGCCAGGTAAGCACTTTGTCTCAACGTGCTTCAAAAAAACTCTAAATTTGTCTAACTGAACTAAATCCATTGTTATTCTCTACTTGGCATTGGCAGTCTACATTGTTTACAGCATTAGGATGGCGAGGGAAGCCAAAAATGTGTGAAATGTGGTGCAGGATGATGGAGGAAGCCACGGGGCTATTCCTGATGTGGGTAGGCATTTCCCTGAATTGGTTGGATTGTTGGACATTCATGGGAGCCATGTTCAAAGAGGGTTTCCTTGACCTATGAAAGAGGTATTCTTGTCATGCTCTGTTTAACAGTCTCAGTTGAGATCGAGGCCCTATTGCAGTAGGCACTGTATGTCCTTGCTCATTATCTAAATAGATGACAGAGGTTGGGAGGGAAAGCAGGCACAAAGAGGGAAGCAGCTTGTTCAAGATCACACAAGAAGTCAGGGGCAGGGCTCAGGTCTCCTGTGTCCCATGTGAGGCCTCTATCACTAAGTTGCATGGTCTCAATTCTTTGCTCTCGTTACATCTGTAGTGAATTAGTTAGCTGTGATATTAGTTTGAAGTTAGGTAGAAAGCAGGGCAGGGTGGCACTTTAGAGACTAACTCATTAGTTAAACCTTGTTGAGTTCATCTCTAAGGTGCCATACTGTTCTGCCTTCTGCCAAACTTCAGGCTAACATGGCTAACCACCTGTCTGTACTCACAGATGGCAAATAAACCTTCCATGCCCTGCTACACAAGGGGTTCAGGACCTGAAAGTATTGCCCAATTCTTACTCTTATGTCATGTCTACAGGGTAAACCCACCCTGCCTAGCAGCAATGCCCTCAGATGCTACAGTGCTCCAGGCAAGCTGCCTCCTAAGCTGCAGGCAGTGTAGCCACATTTGTGTAGTGCTTTGGGCAGGCTTATTGGCACTGGTGAATGACAAGCCCATTATCCCATCATCATGTTAATTACTTAGCCAGTCCACAGTGTGGCAGGTGCATGGCTACCCTGGCTTCCCATTCAATGAGCTTTAGTTCAAGTTCCCCCCCCCAACCACCATTTTTAAGCATGAGGACACTGATCCCCTGGATGAGTTGACCATATCTCTGTCCTGCTTCCCACCCTGGGTCCCATTCACCATCCTGGCTGGGCAGTGCCTCCAACCCCTGCCCCACTCTCTCCCTCACCATGGAGGCCTTGATCTGTGCCCCCCCGCCGCCTCACACCCCTTCCCCTCCACAGACTTACCTGCAGGGAGCTGCTGTCCACGCTGCCCGGCTGCATTCCTGTAAATCTGCGGAATTACAGGAAGTCCAGGGGAGCTATGTTCTGTAAATTGGTTATCAAGTCGGTATTGGCCAATATGGCTGGTTTATAATTGGCTATTGGTATCAGCCAATAAAATCTTTATCAGTGCACCCCTAGTTTGCAGCTCTGTTCATGCTCCCATTTGAGGTCAGTGGGTGTTCAGCCATTTATGCCAGCAGGAGCAGGGTGAGAACTATAAACACATGTGGTCCCCACTACACAAGATGAGGGAGGGAGATATTCCTTGCCTCCTATAGCTCTGCAGGTCTTTTGTCCACTACAGCAGACTCTCAAGCACTGCACATAGCTTCCATTTCCCCTTGAGCAGCTTCCTAGAGGCCTTTTTTGGACCCCTTTTAGTGCCAAAATGGCTTCTAGTGCCTTTCATTTCTTACCTGCTCCCTGGTGTATATAAGTGATACTTAAAAACTTGCCACAGATCTTAAGTAATCAGTCTGAGTTACTTTCAGTACTCAGAGCATTTCCTGGAGTGCCTAGTTTCCATTTATTAGCATTGTGATCTTTTGAGGTGCTGTACAAACACAGTGTAAAAAGATGGTCCCACCCCAAAAAGTTTAGGGTGCTAGGAACCACCCTAAGTTTTTTGCCCAGCACCTTCTGTCATGGCAACTACACTGCTATGGGGAGACAAACCAAGGAACTGCAGTGTAGGGCAAAGAGGAAGGGTGCTGCAATTACCAGATTAGTACAATTGGCAAGTTTCTCAATATCCTGTCCCGCAGTAATGGTTTGTAGCTACCAGTGGAAGATGCATCATGACCCTGCCCTCATGACACAGCTGCAGAATTAGGGATCTTGGCTGTAGTTACATTCATCTAAGTACAAAGGCAGACAAACTCTTTGGGTAGAGGTGATATCTTTTATTAGACCAGCTAAATAGTTGCAAAAGAGTAGTTCTTTGCAAGCTTTTGGACATACATGTCCTTTTTCACGCAAAAAAATAAATTGAAAATGGTGAGAGAAACTAAAGATAGTAAGAAATCTCTCAGGTATGAAAAAAACCCCCAATTTTTGGAAAGCTGTTCTGTGAGACTGCAAATGAAGAGGAGTTACAGACACAAAGGGAGGTTGGTTACCTGGAGTTATCAGATGGCAGACAGGTTGTAGGAGGCCATAAACCTAATGTTAATATTTAGTCCAGGCTGTTGAATTTGGCTTCTTTCTTCTTCATGTTGTGAAGTTTCCATTTCAAATGTTGCAGAATTAAGCTTTTCTCTCACTGTCTCATAGGGCTCACGTGATATCTATGACCACGAGGTTTCCATTGAAGCAGACTCTTACCTGCCTGTGGATGACACTTGTATACCCACCGGTTGGTGATGTTACCATTTGCTTTTTATTGAGATTTCCCTGACCAGAATCGGGCTCTTCAGTGGAGGGAGGAGAGGGGATTATTAAAAGGTCTTATGGAATAAGGTGCCCAGGTGCCATGGAAATTCAGTGTGATTTGGGTGCTGTGGAATCCCAGCTGCCTTAAGTGGGGGGATGGAAGGATGCGGGGGCTAGATCATAATGCTCTGTTGGCTGGAGAAAGCTGATGCTTCCATGTGGTGAAGAAAGTATTTCTTGAATTAAGTGAAGTTCCTTATCTCGTTAGGCTAATCCTCCATTAACAAACTGTAGTGAGAGGGTACGAGCAGGGCTCTGCAGCTATATCTTTGGAGTGCTGTTTGCATGAGGCAGCTCCACATTTTGAATTGAACTTACTTTTGCCTCTCCTGAAACTTGCTGAAGGGAGATTTCCAAAAGTCATGTGCTGACTGGCTAGTTTGGTCCTGTGTATAGCACTTTTGGCAGTGGCGGCTGCCCCACAAGTCATGGAGGCTGCAGGGAGTCCCAGCCTAAGCCTGGTTTTACTCCTCTGCTCCCCATTTAAACTCCTGCCCGG